TCGTTATTCTCGCACGGGCCCTGACATGCTTCCGGACCATTTCTCCCATTTCTCACTCCATTTCACTGTGACATAGACGATGATTTCACCCCATCTGCTTCCCCCTTAAACCAGTCACCTGCCTCTTGCCCAGATACCGAGTTCTCTTCTGTGACTGTGGGCACGCTCCTGTCTAGAGCCAACTTTCCCACGAGCGTGAAGTCTCCGAGAAAACTGTTGCTCACCTCTCCACCCTCCTCTCCTACATGGCTCCCTTTCCCTCTCCACTGGGTCTTTCACATCAACATGAAAACGTGTTACTTCTTTGATTAAAAAAAAAAAAATCCTGCCTCGCCGTCTGCTCTTCCTCCCCACCCTCCTCTCAGATTGCAGAGTTCTGGCCTCACTGGGGCGTCCACTCGTCTAGCTGCCCTCACTTCCCTACTGACTTCCAGCTCAGTATTTCCAGGCCAGACTTTTATATATGCAGCTGCCTACAGGAATCTCCTTCTGGACATGCTACAGTTCTCTCCTGATTCCCAGGCCAATCCTAGCCCCCAGCACACACACATGCCCGCACGCACACACACACGCACATACACATGCACACGCACACACATGCACGCACACACACAGATCTCCTACTTCTCTGCCACCTTTCCATCTCTCTCAGTTGCTCGGGCCCAACACCTGAGAGCCGCCCTTGACTTTTTCTTTCACATTTCGAATCTAACTAATCAGCGAGTAGTCTTGGCTCTACCTTCAAAATAGATCTGGAATCTGGCTATTTCTTGCCACATCCTTGCTGGCTCCCCGGTCCAAGCCTTGAGCACCTCTCCTACTGGTGCCTCTGCTTCCATTCTTGGCTCCCGCCCTCATTCTGTTCTTCACGCAGCACCTAAAGTGGTTCTGTGCAAGCGTAGGTCCGATGTCACTCCTCTGCCCAGAACCCTTGCTGGCTTCCCATATTTCTTCAAATGCCACCTGTGCTACATGATGTGGCTTCTCACTACGTCTGAGCTCATCTGCTACTCTCCCGGCTCATGCCACCAGCTACAGGCTTCTCACTGCTCCTTGAGCCCCCAGGCATGCTTCTGCCACAGGCCTTTGCACTTCTGTTCCTTCTGCCTGAAACACCCACGTTTCCTTCAGGTCTTCAGTGACCGCCTCAGGGAGCCCTTATTTAAAATAATTATCCTGGATACCCTCTAACCTGCCCATACGTTATTGCCATCTGACACACCAGATGTTTTATTTCTATACGTGTCTGCTTCCCGTCACTAGATGTCAGCTCTGCCAAGGCACGGGGTGTGTCCCTTTTGGTCACTCACTGTCTTCCCAGTGCCTAGCATCCTGCCCATGACTGTTTGTTGAATGAATAAATGATCCCATAGAAACACATGAACGAAATTCGCCCCTAAACTCCATTCTTTCACACCGAGTGCTTCACGAAGTCTCTCTCCTCCTAACAGCGTGATTTTAGAACTTATGCGCCGGTCCAGGTCCTGGCTAATTGTCAGAGAGCAGATGTCGTCCCCTGAAGCCCGTGTCCTGCCTTTGTCTCCCAGGAGCCCCTGCTCTGGCCGGGGAGGAGCTGCTTTCCATGGTCCCAGGCAAGGCGGGCGCCTTAGCCCTCCAAGCCCCCTTGCTCAGACGCATGGGAGAAGCTTCTCTAAAGGAAGGAGCCTGTTTTGACCTGGAGCCCGGCCTTCCCTTTGGCTTTTTATAATCTGGGCTAAAACCTGCCTCTTCCTCCCACCCCAAGAGGTTCAGGGTACCAGAGCCGCATCCAGGCGCCCGCGGGTCCCACGGAGCCGCACCCCGAACTTGTGCCGCGCTTGTTGGAAGGGGTTCCAACTGCAGACCACTTCCCGCCAAACACAGCCGCATTGTTAATGAATCAGTGGCAGCCGCATGGAAAAGGCGGTGGGTGTGGAAAGGAAAAGCTCTGGTTTATAAAGATCTTGTGCCAGATCCTCCTGATGTCATTTACTTTTTGCTCCCGGGCCAGCCCTTTAGAAACACAGCCGTCTTCGGAGCGAGCCAGGCGCTGGGCCAGGCGCCGGGTGCAACGGGAGCGCTTCTGCGAGGGCTTCTGTGAGCCGCTCCTCGCGGCCAGACGGTCCCCGCCCGCCCCCCACCCCCTCCCGGGGGCCTCGGGGCTGCTGAGGGGATGGAGGGGGGTGAGTGACAGCCGGACCCTGAGGCCAGAGGGGTGGGGAGTCAGGATCAGCGCGGTCCTTGCTGCGGAGTGATCTGGGCACGTTCCGTCTCACTCAGTGTCCTCACCTGCCCGAGGTCAGCACAGCGCCTGCTCCGGGGGTGCCTGGGCAGTAAGCGGGGTGTCCTCTAATGCGCCCCCTAGGCCGCCAGCACTTCCAAGGCACGGACCTCAGGCCCCGGGCTTCCCTCCTGATAAGAACAAGGGCACCGAGAATGACAGATGCCGCCACGCACCTGGGGGCTGCCCTTCCTTCCCTATGACGCTGCTTTAAAAAGAAATAATTCGCGGGATGCGTGTGGCTCAGAGGCTGAGCGTCCACCGATGAGCCAGGAGGGCACGGGTGGATTCCAGGTCAGGGCAGAGGCCTGGGTTTGGGGCTTG